TATCCATTAAAAATAAAGCATAATAAAGTGGTAAAGAGCAAAATGCAGTCATTGGAGAGGATATGTAGCATACGGGTGGTGGACTCATCTTGTACATTCCTCCGTGTCACTCCTCTGTTTAATTAAACCCAAATTGTTGTTAGTGCTGGTGCAAGCAGGTGAGGGCTCCCGGGCAGGCTCTGCTGGGCTGTGCTGGTGCTCCAGGAGCTCAGCCTGGCTGAGCTGGGTTTAACTCCTGCCTTTCCTGCAGCCCTCGCTCACATCTCGCTCCTTGGGAAGGCTTGGCCACTGCTCTTCAGCCAAAACCCCAGAATTGGAGTTTTCATGTCATTTTGGGGAATGATGAACAAAAACGCCTCTTTAAAAACATGTGGAAGAAAGGACTTGAGGGAATGGTGTAGTAGTAAAGTAAGAAATAATTCCCATTTTAGATTATTTGTGGTATAATTTCCATTTTAGATTATTTGTAGCAAAGTTGCCCTATAAATACAACTGCATACCCATTTAATGAGTAATTCCAAAGTAATTGAGAGAAGATGAACAAACCTGCATAGTCGTAAATTAAATTTTCCTTTAAATGGTTTCTAAAGTAAGTAATCTGTATTTTTCTTTCGCACTCACTACCTGTACTAATCCCCACGCTGTATTTTTCTGTTTGTAGATCCTTGTAAACGTGGGCAATTTTTTCACACTGGAGTCTGTCTTTGTATCACCACGGAAAGGAATTTACAGTTTCAATTTCCACGTAATTAAAGTCTACCAGAGTCAAACAATTCAGGTATGTTGATGAGTATGATTATAAAATCTTTATTTAACTGGTTTGTTTAGGATAGAATATTGACTGAGCATGGGAGCATTTAATATGATTTTAAGTTAAAAATAGCTTTACAGCAACATGTGGTGTTGACTTGCTGGCAGTAGAGTCCATTAATTTACAATGAACAGAAATAAGGCAGGATCCTCACCTCAGATAAACCACCACAACTTCACTTCCATGCCATGAACATCTGGGTGACATAAAGCATTGCACAGAATGAATGATCCAAGGGTAAAAGAGAGCTCTGAATTCCCCCGAAATACTGTTGAAGAGTCGTGGTTGGCTCCAGGTGAAACCCACTGTGTTTTAAACTCACAGGGGTTCTGGGTCCCAGATTTGAGTGGGTTTGGAGCAATTTGTGCCCTGGCATCTGGTGCCAGGTGCCTGGTTATGCCCTCGGTGTGCTGAGGACCAGGGTTGGTTATGTCCCTACAGCAATGTCTTCTAGGGAACCTTTACAGATATTTATGGTTGGTTATGTCCCTACAGCAATGTCTTCTAGGGAACATTCACAGCAATTCAAACTCCTTTTTTCATCACACAACATTTCAAAGGTGTGTGGTGGATTAGAGAAAAGGGGTAATTCTGCACTTCTTTAATAGCAACAGAGCTGCCTGATTAAACACCAGAGGGAAAAGCCTTTAAATTCCTGAGCATCCCCTTGCTGAGCCAACAGCGAATTCCTTGGAGGGATTCCTTCACCTCCCTGCCAGGTCAGGCAGTTGCTGTGACACCTCCTGGCTTCCAGAGCTGCAGGAGCCTCTGTGGCTTCTCTCGTTTCCTGGAGGTGTCTGAGCCCTCCCCTGCTCCGTGCTGCTCCTGGATGGGGTTTGGGGGCTGCCAGGCTGAGCTGAGCTGGATTCCTGCAGGAGCAGTGCTCAGGAATCCCTCTGTACCCTCCAGAGAGCTGGTGACAGCCCCAACCCCATCTCTTGCCATTGGTGACAGCCCCAGCCCCATCTCTTGCCATTGGTGACAGCCCCAACCCCATCTCTTGCCATTGGTGACAGCCCCAGCCCCATCTCTTGCCATTGGTGACAGCCCCAGCCCCATCTCTTGCCATTGGTGACAGCCCCAACCACATCTCTTGACATTGGTGACAGCCCCAACCCCATCTTTTGACATTGGTGACAGCCCCAGCCCCATCTCTTGACATTGGTGACAGCCCCAACCCCATCTCTTGNGGGAGCACTGCTCGGTGACACCAGTGCAGTGACATCGCCCCGAGGGCTGGGACAGGGGGCTCAGCCTATGCAGGGTTTAGAGATTTTGGGTAGGTGCTGTGGAAGCAGCGCTCAGTGTCACCAATGGGGTGACATCGCCCCAAGGGTTGGGGACAGGGGAGCCCAGTGCACCTGGGTAGGGTTTGGATGGTTTGAGCTTAGCTTTGGAGGGAGGAAGGAGAGAGGATTCTAAGGGAAAACCCTTCAACTTTCCTGGCACAGTTGATGGTCCAGCTCACCCAGCACTGATATTAACCAGCACACGCTTTAATCCCAGCTCCCGGAGTCACTGGGACTGGTGGCTCTTCTTGTCCCTGTCAACCGTGGTGGCAGCTGGAGCCAGATGTGCCCCACAGCTTAATGCTGGCACCAAAAATCACCCCAAAACTCCAGGGACAGTCCTGGAGGCTTCCAAGGGCTCTGCCTGGCACAAAGGAGCCTGNCTCAGCTAAGGAATTTGCTTTTCATGATGCCCAGGAGGGTCCCCACAAAGTAATAAGTCAGCATCATTTTCTAGCTGCAGCTGATAGCATTTATTGCTAATTCTTTAAACTCTTCTTTAAAAGAAAACAAGCCTGCAACCTGCATGGCACCCGCAGGAATAATCTTTCTTTTCCTCAGTTTGGTAATTCAATTGTGACTTGTAAACTTGTGCAGCTGTAGCAAAGAAAAGAGACTCCAGTCAACTCTAATCTATCTTGAGGAGAGTAAAAAGTGCTTACCAGCACTGGTGTAGTAAATCCTGGCTGCTTTATTAAATAAATGTAGAATTTGACTCAGAAGCCTTAAGGAAGAAGAGCTTTAAAGTATCTGAACAATTTAGCATGTTCTGAAGCTGAATGAAGATGGATTGAATTTTGGTGTGAGGTAGAAACTGATGACAGCCCAAATCCCACCTGAATAAACGTGGAAACGTGGCCGTTATTGGTGTCTCCTGAATGGTGAGAGACAAACCAGACCTGCCTGAGGATCACAGGATTTCTGCCACAGAAAACAGACTCTAAACAGGTCCCAAAAGCTGTTTATAAGGGTAAATCAGCATTGAAATGCTTTCCATCATCAGCACTCAGGAAAGCAAGGCAGGACCCAGATGGATCTTCAGTGCAGAGCCAAAATCTGAAGTGGTTCCATGGATTTGGGACCAGTCCTTTCCAAGTCTGAGCTGTGCAAATGCTCAATTCTTTGTTGCAGCAGCAGCAGCAGGGATTTTCCAGGGTAGGAAATGCTTCCAGAGGTGATTTGGTGTTCAGGCTGCCAAGGAAACTCCTCTGCTGGGCTTTGCTCTCAGCTGAGAGTCCCTGAACTGCAGCACTGGGCTGGCTCCAAAGCCAAAATCAGCGTGAATCACCTTAATATTCATCAACAAGAAATAAAACCCTGCTGGCCTTGAGCAAGGGAAGGGATGTGACACAAATATTGGAGAATTCCCCAGCTCTGTGCTCATGGCTGGGTTTCTGGAGGCTCCAGAGGAGCACAGAAATCCATTCCTGCCCCGAGAGAGCCCCAAAGTGCTGCAAACCTGGGGCTGTCCCAGCCCAGAGCTGGGCACTGGGAAAGATTGGAGGGAAGAGCAGAAGAACACACCCACACTCACCTTGGGCAGGAAATTTGCCATAATTTGCTATAATTTCCTTTATTCCGTGCCTTTAAATAGAGCATTGCCAGCCTTATGGGGATTTTTGGAGCAGAACTGACTGAGAGTCTGGGACTGCAAATCCAGCAAGTTAAAATGAGTGTGTGAGGTGGCAAGAACATCTGCTGCTGGTTTGGGTTGAATACGAGTTTTTGTTGAATGTGACCTCAAGCAGGCAAAAGGAAGAAAAATTCTGCTTGACTGCATTGGTCTGGCCAGAACTGATCTGCTCAGCAGATGATCTATGGATCCAACAAATCCTTAAAATGAAAAGTTCTTTCCTGATATAGGAGACTTCCCACAGAAAATTACACAAATTGCAGAGTGGTGTGTGGGGAGAGCTCCAAGCTGCAGCCTTGAATTTCAGATTTCCAGGGGTGCAGGAACAGAACTCGACACGCAGAGCCCTAATTCACCCTGAGATTCCAGTAAAAGTCACAGCCAAATGCAAAATGGAATTGCTTCTGCAGAAACCCTGGGAGATAATCATGCATATTTCATGCTGGGACCTCAGCTTGGTTCATTCTGGTTCCATTCCTGTACATTTAACACACTGGGAGTGTCCAGGGCAGGCTGGATGGGGTTTGGAACATCCTGGGATGCTGAAAGGTGGCAGGGGCTGGAATGAGATGATTTTTAGGCTCCCTTCCAAGCCAAACCACTCTGGGATTTTCTATTTACAACTTTGCAAAGTTATAGACAACAGAAATCAAATTATCAGCCTGAAAACATAGCCACAGAGAAATATCTTCTAATGGGACCACAGCTTGGAAAAGGAAAGGAAATTTCCTTTCAATTTCCTTTTCAATTCAAATCAATTTCCTTGATGAAAGGAAATTGATTTTTAATTGTCCATTCTCCAACCAAAGCAGGGAGGCAAAATTAATCCTGATTAACAAAGGAGATTTTGGGGTGAAACTCCCTGAAACCCCCTGAGATCCTGCTGGACATTTAATTGCTTTATACCCACAGCAAATGGAGCTGATTTACTGTGCTGTAAAAGAAGGCTGTGCTGCTATTCCTTTGCAAACCCTGCTTTTGGAGCATTTAAAACGCCTTTTTAAAAAAAAAGTCAATTAACAACTGACAAACGTGAAAGAAACGCATTTATGTCCCCATGATCTCAATCCTCACATCCCTCAGCCTTGGAATGTGTCATCACTTTTTACTCAAGTGTAGCTTTTGTTGGAGGCTTCCTTTATTTTGGTTTTAATGAGAATTTAAGAATGGAATGAAAATATAATCCTGCAGCTTAATTCTGGCATAAGCCTAATCGAGTTTATGCATAACAAAAATGTCAAGGCTTGTATTTTCTGCTGCAAGCCCTTACTTTGAAGCAATGCAATTAATTGCACTTGAACATCCTAGAGGTTTATTGCTCCAGATAAAAGCAGCCTGAGCACCTTCTTTACTATTATTTCCAGAAGAAAAACAGTGTAAAATAAAGATAATTGAAGTATCTCTGACAGACAGGTTGTTTTTAGTCCTGAGGAACTGCGTGGCTATAACAAAGAACCTCCTTGAAGAAATTTAGGAGCAGCTGCTTTGCATAGAGAATTTTGGCTTGTGGCAGCCTAAGTCATAATTTACTTTATTCTGGGCCTTTAACTATAGCACTGTGCATTAAATTCATAATTTACTTTATTCTGGGCCTTTAAATATTGCACTGTGCATTTCCATGGGGGATCTGGGTGCCGGTTTAATTACCCAACGTGGCTTTATGGAAGATTAAAGCAGAAATTCAGTGCCAGGGCAGAATGGTGCTGCTAAAACTGAAAAACATCCCTTTAGCCGTGGCAGCAACCCTGGCACAGCTCAATTCCCTTTCAGGGAAAGGTGTGGGGTGGGAAGGATGCTGGAAAACACACAGAGCTAAATCTGAGTGCTTCCAGAATGGTCCCAGACTGGATCTTGGGCTGGGATTAGGATTTTGACACTGATTTCATTCACTGCTGTGAGCATCTTGTGGGAGAGGGGGAAAATAAAAGATCCATGAAAATGCTGCGCTTAAATAAAAGCATTAAATGAATTGCTGTGCTGCAGGGGGTGTTTGCACCAGAGAGAAACAAGGACGAAAGGAGCTTTCCCAAACTCCTGGCATGTTT